AGTGCGTCACCTCTCGGAATTTGGCTGCACGCTTTCTGGCACGGAAAAAAACGGAAGCGATGGAAAATCCTAAGAACAAAATTTTTCTTAAAAAATTTCCCTTTTTCATAAGCTTCATCTCTGTTGCAGCAGCTTTTCCAAAGATACCTGGAAATATCACATTATGGCGCACTGCGTTCGGCTCTGATGCAGTATGGTGGCACAAAAATGAACCAGATTGTAGCGCAAATTTCAATCAGCTTCATTCGTTACAGTGATATCATGCAAGCCGATAAAGTTTTCTACGAGGCTGGGATCGCTGCTAGAGTTCGTTGCATTCTGTGCTAAGCCAGACCGCATTTTGAGCAAATTCTTACTTTTATCAGATGCAGTCCACCTAACGTGCTTCTCCAACTATGCAGCTGGCTATTCACAGCGAGCTTTTCCAACTGTGCCACTGGCAACTTTCTCAATTACTTTACCAACGCTGCATCGTTTGACTGTTAGCCTGCTGGCGATCCTGGGATTCGTTTTGTCTTCTGAAGGAAGTATCCGCCCAAAAGAAGCTCTTTGGTAAAGCTTTAGTTATTCTGAGGTATTATTGTGTTCGTTGAGCACAATCACTTTGCCACAAATGCCACCACCCTTGCATCAAAAGGAGAAAAGAGATACCCCGGAGAGAGTTCAGCAAGCAGTCTGTCGTACGGGAATTTACTTGATGAAATACCAAAATTTACGGGAATTTACTTGATGAATTTACTTGATGTTATTCAAACTTTATTCTAGCAACTTGGTGCCGAAAAAGAGCGCTTGGCATTCGTGCTTTTGAACCATTACCTCGATTTATGCGATGCGATTGAGGACCAAGATCCATCAGCTGTCGATAGTTCCATTTTTGAAGGGACCGATATCCCGCAGGAAGTGCCGCTTCCAGAAACAAAATACACAACGGTGAAGCCTCCTTTCTTATGAGTCAAGTACTTGTGAGTTTGACAAAATATGGCTTTCATATTCGGCGTATTTTTGAGTCACTTAGGACAAAAACTTTACTTACACTGGTCCTCGTAACAATAATTTGAAGTGCTTTTTCCCGCCTAGGATGAAGAGCATGAAGACGTCAAAGAATGGGTTCTTGCCATATCCGTGGAGCAAAGCATGGAACGCAGTTTGCCCACTGACAGTGCCGGGAATTTTGAAGCCAGTTTAACAGATGCGGATGGAACCACTCATCCAGCCTGCATCATTTCAGGTTTGCTGTTTCACGTCGTTAAAAAACTATGAGGTTTTTACAGATAACATCTCTTTGACAAATAGAAGTGTCAAGTGACCCCTTTGTTAATGCAGCTCTTCATTTTTCACCGACCTTGGCAAATTATTATGAATTTTAGGTTCCACAAGCTAAATGATGGACATGGTAAGTCAAAAGTTAAGCCTCCCACTCTCCTCCCTGTATTCACTATGAGAAGCGCAGGCACTCGGTGTCGTAAAACTTATGGGCAAATGTCAAAGCTTAGCGAGAACGATTCGCGCTCGTCGCCGAAGTGGATGAGTTACTCGCGGTGGTCCTCGACTGTCGCTGAATGCCGTCGTAAGCTGGGCGTCACTGCTTCACTCTTGACAGTCAAAGAAGATGATGCAACCTTCGGTCATTTACAGTTGCTCTTGCAAGTTCTGTTTGTCACAGCAATTAAAAACAGCATAATAGCGGTGATAGCTCGAGAAGAAACGAGAAGTATTATAACCTCACGAGACATACTGAAGAAGTTTTCCTCCTTACTTGGATGCA